GTACTTGAAGTCCTAGTTAAACAAAGAGCTAGTAAAAGAAAAGTTGATTTTCTTGATACTACAGTTTTATACAATAATATGTTTATATTATCAAAGTAAAGAGTTTTGAGAAAAGTATATGTCTACGCTATTATATTTCGTACCTATTGTTATAATTGGTACCACTCAGCTTTTGCTGATCGGGTTGGCTCCATTTTTTAGGTACACAAACAGAATAGTGACCGAATCGGAGGACAATGATAAGGCGATGGAAGGATGGGCGAGATGACATAAAGAACGATAAAAATAATAAAGATGTTATTTTAAAATATATATTTTGTACGAATATGTTAAGCTTCCGCATGTATAATAGTTACTCCAATATTATCAATAAATAAATAAGTTTTATTCAATGCTCCATTTTCCGATTCAAAAAGTTAGACCCGTTAACACCGCGAGTCGGATATTCGAATAAATTCGGGTATCCGGGTTGTGGCGTTACACCACATCCATCCCCATTCCTACCCCTGAACATACACTTCAAACACCATCCAAACCCATCCCTTTACCTTCCCTACCTACTGCCCAAACTAACCCCAAAACCCTTTCAACACCCCTGCCCCAAAAGTCCTCACAAACCATCTCTTTTTCCTCCTTGGATACTATCCAAATTAACCCCAAAACCCTGTCAATACCCCTGCCTCAAAACTTTCCTAAACTCATATCTATAACCCCTCCACAAACTGCCCAAAACACACCCAGATTCACATCCACTTCCACAACTCAAAACCCCCACAAAACCACAGGCCCTCCACCAAAAGCCATGGTCATACCTCCACCAAAAACCTGCCCATCTATTCCCAAGAATTCCCATTGCTTCCACCGTCAAAATATTGGTCATTATGATATTCAATGTCCAAATAAGGATCCGAAGTCCTTGCTTGAAGAAGAAGAAAAATCAGAATCTTTGGAACTTAAGGAAGCACAAGAAGATGTGAAATCTCAAGGCCAATATGTAGATGAACTCGTGGTCAGTGATAGGCCATTGAGTAGTCTGGCCCACTCTCTTACTCATTTAACTCCCCAAAAGTGTTATGAGAGGACCCAAAGTGGAGTCATGAGCCGAAACGTAGGAGCCTTGCCCCGAGGATTATCTTCACTAACGGTACCTCGTACCGAGTTTGTTAAGTTTTTGCAGGTTCCAAGTAAGGAAGGAATACAAGAAACATCCGAGTTTTATTATAAGACTCGTGAAAGGCTTGAGAAGAGAAGTGAGTTGAAAAGTCCCACCCACTTTCAACCCGGCGACTTAGTGTGGGTCCATATTCAAAGAGAGCGTTTTTCTGAGAAACGCAAGTCAAGGTAGCAATTCCGAGACGATGGCCCATTCGAAGTGCTAGCCCGAGTCAACGACAATTCCTACATGGTCGGCCTTACAAGAGGTCAAAGAGTTGCTGCCCCATTCAAAAAAGGGGACCTCAGTCCATATGACAGTCTTGATTATCCGTTGAGTTTGAGGGCAAACTCTTTTGAAGACCGGGAGGATGATATATCTGGGCCCGAGCCTATCATACCCTCCCCCATATCCCACACCCTCATGGAAACCAAAGGACTTAGGTTCAAACATTATGATCCATTTTAGTGAGAATTCAATGTCCTTTAGCCCGAAAGGCCAAAATAACTTTCGTTTTTGACCTAAGGGTTCCGCTGGTCAACCCCCTTTTCCGTCCAACCCAACCCCAAACATCCAAAAGTATTTTATTTCCTTTTGATATCCAAA